GTGCGCGTGAATGGCCGTATAACAAAGGACTCCACACTTCACATTCTTATTGTGGTCTTCTTCTATCTATTTTGGTCTCCTATTAATAGGTTTAGCCTATTCAAACTGTGCTCCTTCTGTTTTTATCCAATGAAACGTTTTCAATTTCGAGAGACTTCTTTTTATCTGCCATGGTGTCCATCGCGCTCTGGCTTAAGCCTTAACTTTGCGCTATTTTTTTCCTTTGACTGGTTCTGTGAGCTTGTAGATGTTAATGAAAGAATGGAGACCAACATTACAATTTCTGGTGGTTAATAGCCGGGGCTGACAGACTCTGATATGAGCTGAATGAGATCCATGCTTAGTGCCTTGAAGCTCAAAAACACGAACGTTGTGAATTACAGGTAGCTATTAATTTTGCCACAAAATGATTTCGTTCATATGTATGCCTACTCAAATAACATTGTATCTCGTGCGCATACAACACTAGGCTCCTATCCTATTTGGTGTGGCGTCTGCCTTAGTGGCGACTCCGGCTATAACTGCCGTCTGCGCCCTCTCCTGCCTGCGGTCTCCTTGGTTTGACCATGCAACTTGATCCAGTCGGGAGAGAGGAAGATGCAATGCAAGCCTAACGGCACTTAAAACTAATCCACTTGTAAGTCACCACACTTCCTTTTGGCCTGCAGGATTCTACGGCGGACATCGTCGGAATTGACAGTCAAAGTCTCACAGTTACTAGCGAGCAAACAAGAAAGCAAATGTAAGTTGTTTTAATAAAGCCCTCCAATTAAATAAATTAAAGATTGTTTCGACGTGATCCACTCGAACGAACTGCCCGAATAGGCAGGATATTAAGGAAGCCGTGGACAAAAGGCTGCGAACAATAATGCTTCCTAGATGCATAGTTTTCCTTTTAAACCTTGTCCGATTTTTCCGTGCATGGTATAGAGGTCAGCCGCATCCAACCTCGACTAGACATTGAGCGAAAATGTTCTCATAATGCGTTTAATTATCAGAAATTCGGACTTACTCATTCCGCACGAATGCAGACTTTCCACCGCCGGCTCTTGCCACGCCAGTAACAAGGGATGTGCTGACACCATCGCCGAGACCGATTGCAAACAGTCGCGTAGTCTTCGCATTGTGGCGCACAAGTGAAATGACCTACAGAAGACGAGCAATGAAAGATCGTATCCTGAAGGGTCAACTGCTTCCATGAAACATAATCGGATAGCATAAGATTGTATACTTATATTCTGACCATCGAGTTCGACGATGTCTGCATTTGTTCCAGAGCGAACTGCTGCAGGGACAGGGACTCCCATTGGCTTATAGTGAAAGTAGACTTTCGGAGCATCTTACTCATTTGCCCCGACCCCAATTGGGCCTGGTGTCAAGTCAAAGGCAAGAAGACATGCGAAAGAGCCCAGGCCCGCCAACTGTGGGTAAAAAAAAACAACTTCAGAGAGTGGTTCGGATCCCAGCCAAATTAGAGAGCTATGAAGGCCACATTAAGGAGCTATTGCAGCCTCACTCTTAGTTCACACGTCAATCACTTCACACAACAGAAAACACACCTGGCTGACCGCGCATGTACGTGTAAAAGTGGACGGTCGTTTGAAGACTCGGAGTCAGTTTGACTAACTCACCATTTACGGGGGAAACAAAGTCGGAAAATAAGGCTTATAA